GGCTAGTTAGAAGCTGCCATTCCTAAAAAAAGAAAATGTAGTTTGCTCTGAGAATAGAAGAATGAGCTGTGTTAATACAACTGGTTGTGGCTTTTAGGCGCCAGTTTTGATCATTTCTCCAGCTTGTAGAGAGTGATGTGCTCAGAGCACTACTCTTGTATATAGAATTAACACATTTCATTAGTGACATGTCTTTAGGGCGGTTTTCATGACTGAAATGTATTTTAAGGAAATAATTACACTTGTAAATGTGGATGATGCTTGAAATTGTCTTCATTAGAACATTTTACTGTAATTATGCATCCTTCTTAGAATGCAATTTTTACAACCTATGGGAAGCAGCGGTTTACTTTTTAATCACAATAGAAGGCAAAATAATTTGGAAGCAATATAAAAGTTTACCTCATCGTCTGGAGGTGTATCCGCAGTTGCAATTGCAAATGCAGAATACTCGTCCCTAGAAAGAAGACCATCGCAGTCAAAGTCAAACATGTCGAATACATTCATCAGCGTCATCCTAAAATTTTTTGATTAAATCCCGACCAGCCAATTTATGACTAAATTAATGCTCTGTAAAGGCTATTTACGTATAGATCTTCACAGGCCTTAATTAACCATACGTTCTTGTTGACTCTACACTCAGCGTAATCAGCATTCTAATACTTACTTGAATCTTTTTGACAAATGATCATCAGTAGTTAGCTCGACTCTGTGCTTGTCACTTCTAGCACTACGCACATTCGCATTTGTTCCTAATCCCATAACTATGAAAGTTGAGCCTGGTTCTAGGTGAAACTCGTCTGTTTGGTAGAGCTAAAGCGACCTTTGAAGCCATTTCGTACAAGTTTATTTTTATAACAAAACTTGCCCCGTTTTTCTGTCTGCTAGTGACAGCGACGGTATTACCACTGCTGTCAATAACTATGCCAAAGACATCGTTGATGAATTGGTTGGGTCCCATATCAGCTGTAAAATAACTGTGAATGTCTGATGTAGTTCGATAATGTAAATGAGCCGCTCACAATTCCATTCGACTTTCAAGTTGATGCGACAGGATCCTTCACCCTCGAGTACATGTTTAACGACTCGCAAAGGACTCGTGAATAGTACACCGCGAAATTTCTGAAACACGATGAATTAGGTCATTTCCATACCAATCAAAAAGCTGGAATTTTCATTTCGCAAACTGTCCAAAAATATGACCGAATCGATTTGACTCCACAAACAACCTTTTTTAATGAACATAAGAAATTACTGGGTATATTGTCATTATTAGCGTACACAGTTCTTTTCATGAGAAAACAATTTTGCGTTGACAATCATTTCCACACGCATATTTACTTTCGCTGAAGAGCAAGACAGGTATAACTTGCAGGTATGGGCAAATTCTATCGTTTAAGCGAGGAAATTGGATTATTTCAAGACATCAAAGGTAACAACTTGATAACTGATCATATTGAATATATTATGAATATTCTGAAACACGTACTGGTGTAAGTTGAAGGTCTTTGTCCTCATCTGTTGTTAAGGCACTCCAATGCTCTTTAGTAATGCTTTGATTAGCCTCTGAAAAGCCGAGTTGACGAATTTGCAGCTATAG